TCCCTATCCGCGTCGAATTCGTGCCGAATCCATGTCGGCCGCGTCGAATCCGCGTCGAATCCACATCGACTGCGCGTCGAGTCTACGCCAAATCCGCATCGAATCTGCATCGAGCCCGCGCTGGGCTCAAGAGAAGACACCAGCTTGGGGGGCAGACGAGTCCACTGAAGATGCAACGTAAAAGACGACGGCGACGGCGGCTTTGGTGTCCGTTCCATGGGAGCCTGCGTGGCCCCCGGCGCTGTCCGATTTGGGGCTGATTTGGACCGGATTCGGAACAAAGAATGGATTCGCGGGGACTAGAAGAACGAGGAGGAGGGGGAACAGGAGGGGAGAAGAGGAGCAGGAGGATGGGCCAAATGCGGTCCCTACGCGGTCCAAATGCAGGAACAGCTGATTTCAGTGTCGCCGCCCAAGGCTCCCATGAACAGACATCGACGGCGGCGGCTTGGCAAGGAAGAAGCGGGGGTCCTCAGGGGAAAAACGGGTCCTGGATCCGGGGGGGACCGCTCTCGGGACCAGCTCTTCGGTCCGAGCCGCTCTCTGGCGGCAATCCTGGGGCCCGTGGAGGGCCCTGCTGATCCCAAAGATGTTATATTACTCGTGGGCCCCGTGGGCGAAACGGATATCCGTATCCGCGGCCTCGCGGGCCGGGCCCCTGGGCCACGACCCCGCGGATACGGGGCGTTTGTTCGCGGATGCCCCGCGCGGAACGTATCCGTGCGACCGCGTATCCGCGGGAACGCGCCCCAAGGGCAAACGAAGCCACTGAGGGGTCTGCAGTACAGTGGAGGCCAATCCACAAAAACCTTCAAGAACCCCAACCCTGGGACCCCAGGACGTTCATGGATTTTTAGCTTGGGAACGTCGCGCTTTCCACAGCAAAACCATCGAAACCCAAGACACCCAGGGCACCCTGGAGTCAAGCAGGGTGTTTCTTGGCACGGGTCTCCTCTGTATCCTTGAACGGTTCGCCAAAGAGATCTCCACTGGGTGCACGTGCCCCTCCGCTCCGCGGGACCTCCCAGCAAAGCAAGAAAGTGGCGACCGCTGCGTAGGTGGCAGACACCCAGGCGAGCAGCGAGCTCTCGTCTGGGTCCGCGTACAAGACCACTGCCCTGGGCCTCAAAAGAGCCCACGAGGCCGCAGGTGCAAGGAAGACAGCCCCCCAGGGAGCCGCGAGGTCTCGTCTGGGCCCGCGTGAAGCACCACCCCGCGAGACCTCTCATGAGCCCGCGAAGATGGCGACAGTTGCGAAGGTGGCAGCCCACCCTGGGAGCAGCGAGGTTCCTTTGCGCACTTGGCAGCCCCCTCGGGAGCCGCAAGGTTTCGTCTGGGTCTGCGCAGGACATCACGTCGCGGTGCCCCCCAGAAACCCACGAAAAGGGCTACAATTGCGCAGATGACAGCCCCCACAAGGAACCGCGAGGTCTCGCCTGGGCCGGCGTAAAACATCACTCCGCCGACCCTCCCAGGAGACCACTAGAGTGGTAACTCTCGCGCGGGTGGAAACAACCCCAGGGAGCCGCGAGATCTCGCCTGGGTCCGCGCAGGACACCACCCCGCTGAGCCTCACATGAGCCCCCGAAACTGGCGACAATTGCGCAGGTTGCGGTCACCCAAGGAGCCGCGAGGTCTCGTAAGGGTCCGCATAGGACACCACTCCTCGGAGCCTTCCAAGAAAGTGGCGACAAATGCACAGGTGACAGCCCCGGCAAGGAGCCACCAGGTCTCGTCTGGGTGCGCGTAGGGCACCACCCCGCGGAGCCGGCCAGAAGCCCACGGAAGCAGCGACCACTGCGCAAGTGCCCCCCACCCCAGAAGCAGCGAGGTGCTGTCTAGGTCTGGGCCCGTGTAGGAGACCACTCCGCGGAGTCTCCCAAGAGCACACGAAAGTGGCGACTCTTGCGCAGGCGGCAACCCCCACAGGGAACCGCAAAATCTCGTTTGCCTGTGTCCGCGTAGGACACCACTCCGCGGAGCGGGATCCCAGGAACCCACGAAAGTTGCGACAATTGAACGAACTGCAACCCCCAGGGAGCGGCGAGGTCCGCGTTGGGCACCACTCGCGGAGCCCCCCAGGAGCCCGCAAAACTGGCGACACTTGCGTAGGTGGTAGCTCCCAAGGGAGCCGCGAGGTCTCGCCTGGGTCCGTGGAGGACACCACTCCGCGAATCTCTGAGGAATCCACGAAAACAACGACAATTGCAAAGGCGGCAGCCCCCAGGGAACCGCGAAGTGTCACCTCGGTTCGCATGGGACACCACGCCGCTGGAGCCTCCCAGGAGCCCACGACAGCGGCGATTGCTGCGCAGGTGGCAGCCCCCCAGGGACCTGCGGAGTCTCGTCTGGGTCCGCGCAGGATCCCACTCCGCGGAGCCCCCAAGGAGAATACGAAAGTGGCGACGACGCAGGTAGGAGGTTGGAGGCAAGAGGAGAGAGGAGGCGGGACGAGTGAGTCGCGCGAACGGTGTTCTATGCAAAATGGAAGCCCAACGCAGGAGGGCCAGGGAACCAGGGAAGAGCTCAGGGGCCCGTTTCCCGAAGGACTCGTTTGTTGCATTGCACGGCTCCTGCATGGGGTCCGCGCAGATGAGATCGGAAGATCCTGGCGAAGTCGGCGTCAAGCGCAGATCCAAGAACTCCGCGCGGAGCTCCGAATGATTAATGTGCAATGTTTCCTTCTTCGGACGACGACGACGACGACCACGACGACGACGACGACGACGACGACGACGACGACGACGACGACGACGACGATCAGCAAAAATGCAACATCGCGGAAGATCTCGACTGGAGCGCAAGACCCAATCCTACTGCGGCATTTGCCGAGCCGGGTGGATCTGTCACGGTCCTGGGGGTCCAGAACTGAGCAAGCATTCCCAGTGTGGAAAAATCGCAACGCCTGGATCTCAGGGTGGGAGTCCTGGGTTCGACCCCTATCCCAGGTTCGTGGTGTCTAGGAATGGACCCAAAATTGTGGGCCCAACCCTGGGACATACAATCTGGGGGCTTTCATCCTCGATGGGGCAGCCCCCTTGGGTGTGTATCCCAGGAATTCTCGCTGTCTTCTTGGTGGCCAAGCACTTTTCGGGCGGAACTCGGGGATTGTGCGTGAAACATCACCTGCGATGATCGCGAGCGACGCCAGCCGCGACCGCGACTAGAGGCCTCCTAGATGGGGTCTGAGTAGATGGAGTCGGAGGATCTCGCCGCATCGCCGGTGCATCGGCGGTGCATTGGCGACGTCGGCGGTACATCGGCGACGTCGGCATGGAGAAAATTGGACCCCACGTCGAGCTGCATCGCCGATGCATCGCTGTTGCTTCGTTCGGCGATGCGGCCAACTCGGGGATTGTGGGGAACCAAAAAATACCCATACTGCTACTCCCTGGACCTCTCCTGGGTGCATTCTGACCAGGACTTCGAAGCGAATCCAGCGGTGGCGACGAGGACCTCCCGGGAGGCCCCAGAAAGGCGAAACGAGGGAAGGGCAGCAGTATGGGTACCTGAAGCATCGCCTGCGACGCAAGCCACGGCCGCGACGGTGGCGACGACGGCGACTGGGGGAGACGCCAGTAGGGCGCCCACGATGAAAGTACGCGCCCACCCACGTACATGAACACGGTCCCCTAATCTGCGAGACTGGCCGCGTGATACAAACGCACGAGCCATGAAACCAACGTGGATTCATGTAAATGTTTGGGGCGCACAGAGACATAATTCGCCGGCCCAACGGGCCAGGGCGTGCTAAGATCTCCGGTACCTGGTTAACAGTATTTCTAGTTCGCGCGCGCGGGGCGGCCCCTGGGGGTCCCCGGACGAAAACCCCCGGCAAGGTCCCGGCAAGTCCCCGGCAAGGTCGGGCCAGAGATGCCGGAGCCCTGTTACAGGGCCCCAGGACGGGCCAAGAGGTCCCCAAGAAGCCTCCAAGACGGTCCAAGAGGGCCCCGAGACGGCCAAAGATCGCCCGAAGACGCCCAACAGGGCCCCAAGACAGCCCAAGAGGCCTCCAAGACGCCCCAAGGGCCTTCCAAGAGGCCTCCGAAGAGGGCCCCAAGAGGCCAAAATCGTTGATTTTCATTGTTTTTGTTCTATGTTTTTTGCGTTCTGGCTTTTTCGGCTTCCGGACGCTCCAAGACGGCCCAAGAGGCCCCCAAGACCGCTCCAAGACGGCCCACGAGGCTCCCAAGACGGCCCCGGAACGGCCCAGGAGGGCCCCCAAGACGGCCCAAGTGCCGCCCAAGACGGACCAAGAGGCCCCAAGACGGGCCCAAGAGGGGCTCAAGAGGGGAACCGAGAACTGAAAAATCGAGCCCTCCGCCCCAGAAGGCGCCCAGGAGGCCCCAAAAAGGCCCCAAGAGGCCCCCAAGAGGCCCCCAAGACGCCCCAAGAGGCGCCCAAGAGGCCCAAAAGAGGCCCCAAGAGGCCCCAAAACGGCCCCCAAGAGGCCCCAAAACTCGGCTAGCCCACAACGGTGCGACAATATGGGCCGGCGGAATGAGCGAAGCGATTAAATAATACTATATGTCCTCATTGGAGGCGCGCGTCCGACCCGAACATATAGTATAGTTACCCATCTTGTAGTAGGTCGTTTCCTGAGGGGTTGCCAGAAAGCGCCCACCACGACGCATAGAAGATAAGATTTCTCGGTGCGCGCGTCGCCCCTAGGGGGGCGGCGCACACACAGCATCGGGGAGACGTAAGACTTGGGTACGGGGGACTCGGGTTGGCCTGACGGGGCTATCATTAAAATGATGAGCCCCAATCTGAAATTTGACGCGAGCTCCAGCTGCAAACATCCCACGAAAACAGGACCCTCAAAATCCAGGACGTGCTCGTCCAAAAAAACGTCGGCAAACTCGAGTTCCGGCTTACTGGCTTACTCGAATCTCACGTTTCCCTGATACTCTCAATATGCTGGGGTGACGCCGTACGTACGTCCGTCTTTCGCTCCTGAGCCAGCCACGGCCGCGACGGCGACGACGGCGGCGCCCGGCCTTGGACCTGGGGCCTCCCTCGTCGTCGGAGCCCTCGCCCTTGCACTTGGCGCAGCCGGAGAGCACGGACTTCGGGGCCGCAACGGCGCCGCGGTCCCTCGGCCGGGGGCGCTCCTCGACCACCACGGGGGGGGGGGCTCCTCGGCCGAAGGCCGAGGAGGCCGAGGGGGCCTCCTCCGCGCTCGCCCTCCTGCTCGTCCCGTCCCGCCCAGCCCGCCTCCTTCTCTTCCCCGTCCTCTCGCCCCCCATCACCCCCCCTCGTCCATCTCCTTCCCCTCGCCCCCCTCGTCCCTCTCCTCCTTCCCCTCGCCCCCCCTCGTCCCCATCCTCCTCGTCCTTCTCATCCCCCCCCCCGTCCCTCTCCGCCTTTTGGCGGCGCGCATTTTGGAAGTAGGGGGAGGGGGGAGGCTTCTCCGCACAAGACTGCGTCTTAGAAGGCGGCGGCCTTAATCTATAGATAAGGCCCAAGCCTTCTAAGCACCACGCGTGCTTTTAAGAAGCCGTCCACCCTCCCATTGTCCCCTCCTGCGCGTGGCCGATCCTCGTTGCCCCCCCTCCCCCTCCCCCCCAAGACATGCGATGCCTGGATCTTTTCCGTACGGGGTCCTGGCCAATCCCGACCCTTTCCCTGGGGCCCGTCTTTCATGGTGAGTCGTTTTGTTGACAGTCCCGGGGCCCAGCGAGGGCCCCCGAAGGCCGAAAACAGCTAGAGCCCCCCCGTCCTGATGTTTCCCCACGCGAGCCCGAGAGGGGGCAGGTCTTCTCGGGAGGCAGTGGGGCTTTTCAGAAGCCCTCCTGCCTTCTGAGAAGCCGTCTCTGCCTGCGGGGAAGGCTTAGAAAACTTCCCAGAAGGCCCAGGGCCTTCCGAACCTTGTGAGAAGTCCCGCCCCCTCTGATTCTCCCCCTGGGCTCGCCGCCGAATGTGTTTCGCGACGCGACCATGTCTGGGTCACCACATGGGCGCGCCGCGTCCCGATGTTTCACGACGCGGGCATGCCAGGGTCCCCCTCGCCCGTGCGCCCCCAAATGAGCGACGATCAAAAACGGAACTTACGCGAGGTGACACAGCGACCTTACGCGGCGGCTTACCCGGGCCGCGGACGCGAGCAGCTTACGCGCCAATGTCGGCGCAGTGGAACCCGCTTTTTCCCGTCGCTCCAATGTCTCCGACGGCGCGACTTCTTCACAGCGCCAATGCAAAGCTCCGAAACGGCGGGTGAAAAACGAATTTCGCGTGGATGTTTGTTAGTCTTCATCCCTGGCCAAAAAAGTCCGCACGAAATTCACCTCGAAATCCGGAACGAAATTCTCCTGGATACTCCAGTCCCATCCTATCGTTTTCCAAACGAAATCCGCTCTGCGATATTGGCGCCAAAAGGCCGTGCAAAGATGTGGGCTGCTGGCGAGCGCCCAGCGACCCACCCACGGCCCGCCCCGCAAACCAGCCGCGACCCGTCCAGCGAACCACCCGGCTTTGGGGTCCGTTCCATGGAACCTGCGAGGCCCCTCCGATTTGGGGCTGATTTGGACCGGATGCGGAACAAAGAATGGATTCGCGGGGACTAGAAGAACGAGGAGGAGGGGGAACAGGAGGGGAGAAGAGGAGCAGGAGGATGGGCCAAATGCGGTCCCTACGCGGTCCAAATGCAGGAACAGCTGATTTCAGTGTCGCCGCCCAAGGCTCCCATGAACAGACATCGACGGCCGCGGCTTGGCAAGGAAGAAGCGGGGGTCCTCAGGGGAAAAACAGGTCCTGGATCCGGGGGGGACCGCTCTCGGGACCAGCTCTTCGGTCCGAGCCGCTCTCTGGCGGCAATCCTGGGGCCCGTGGAGGGCCCTGCTGATCCCAAAGATGTTATATTACTCGTGGGCCCCGTGGGCGAAACGGATATCCGTATCCGCGGCCTCGCGGGCGGGGCCCCTGGGCCACGACCCCGCGGATACGGCGCGTTTGTTCGCGGATGCCCCGCGCGGAACGTATCCGTGCGACCGCGTATCCGCGGGAACGCGCCCCAGAATCCAGACCGCGAGGGCGCAAACACGGACATGTTCGCCGCTGGTGAGCTACCAGACTCGTACCCAGCCCCTTCTAGACAGGGGCGGCTATAAACAAAACCGCTCAGGGCAAACGAAGCCACTGAGGGGTCTGCAGTACAATGGAGGCCAATCCACAAGAAACCTTCAAGAAACCAAACCCTGAGACCCCAGGACGTCCATTGAGTTTTGGTACGGGAACGTCGCACTTTCCACAACACAACCATCGAAACCCATGAGCCGTGATCGCTCAAGAGCCGTGATCGCTCGCGCCCGAGCCGGCCCCCTGTGCTGGCCAATATCCCTGTCCCTTTCCCGTACCCTGTCTCTCCTTCACCCCCAGCCGCTCCGTAACCATTTTGGCTCAAGCCGCTTCACCCCCAACATCTTGGCTTTATGTGCTCGCTCATGGCGCCCAGATGCCGGGTGTACGCTTGGAGTGGATGCGGGACTCGCCCCAAGAGTGTGGCGAGCCAGTGTGGGAAGCGCGGCTGCTGCACGGCGGCAGCGGCGTGCGAGGGCCGTCGAGTCGGCCGACAACCTCGGCAAGAGGCTCGTGAAGCAGAATCGCGTCTTGCAGGAGCAGCTGGAGGAGCTCCAGGCGGTCGTCGGCGACGACTCCGAACTCTCGGCGCGGCTCCTGCTTGTGGCCCCAGTGCTCGCGGCGGCGATTGCGGGCAGAGCGCCGAGCAAGCTGCAGATTGCGCGGCGAAACACGGCCTCGCACTGCTTCCACGTCCAGGCCAATATTTTGGATACGGCGTCTCAAGCCGAACTGAATTCCATCCAGCGGCAGTCGAAAAAGTTGGAAATGGTTCGGCAGGTGGACACCACGGAGCAGGTCCAGGCGGCATATGCTGTGCTGCCTTCGGAGAAGGAGCTGGACTCAGAAATGCAGGTCGTCGATCTTGCCCCGCCTTGGTGCGGCATGATGTGCACCTGCGGCACCTCTGTCTTCCAGAGCGCGGCGACCGTGGAGACGGGTCAGGCCGAGATCCAGACGGCGGCGCCTTGGGCACCTAATCCGACGGCTCCGCATTTCACCTCTCTCGTGGCCGTGTACGCGCAGACCATGAGCTTCGGCATGCGCTCGCGGTCGCGCGGGCAGCCTTTCGTGCGGCGCCGTGCGAAGCTGGACGAAGCGTTACGCCGCCAGCGCTGGGAGGCGAGCGCCGAGCGGGCTCGCTTGCTCGCCGACGCCGACGCCCTGCGAGGCGGCGCGGCGTCTGGCGACATCGGGCCCCCGCGGGGGATGACTGCCCAGCGGGTCGCGGTGCCGTCGGGGCCGACGGACGTCGACATGCTGCTCCGCGAGCTCGGGGCGGCGACGGCGGCCAAAAGCGAGGCAGGCTACTCCCGCGAGGGCAGCTGCAGCTGCACCTCCCCAGAATCGCGATTGCAAGCAGATTTGATGCATCTTGGCTAAAGGCGCACGATTTGGAGGGTATCACCACTCTTTATCGGCAGTGTTGGAACGATCCACGTTGTGTCGCCTTTGGAATGTAATATTTGCCCCCCGGAGGTTTGCGCTATCAGTTCGCTTTCTTCGCCGTGGAGCTCGGAACAGAGAATGTTGTCCCACGCTTTCCTGCTCTCCGTCGCGGATGGCGTCATCGTCGACGCGCTCGGCTTCGAGGTCAGGGGGGGAGATATGGATATGGCATCGTCATCGTTCTCACTCACTCACTCACTCACTCACTCACTCACTTCACCCCGGGCAGCGCGCAATGGCAGACGGTGCTGCCGGCAGCGGGCCTCACACTCGTGAGCCAGGAATGCATTTGCGAGGCGAGCGGGACGTTCGGCAGCGGCTGTTTAGCCCGCTGCACACTATGGACGGAGACGAGGGGGAGGAAGAGGCGAGGCCCGTGCCATTCCACGTCTCCGGATGCCCGCCAGCAGCCCGTCACCCTTCATGCTATCGCGGAGTTTTTGGACAAGAAGTTCGATGAGCGACTCCGACCCGTACTTGACACAGTACGGGAGCTACAGGACGACGTTGCACGAGTGGAGGCTAACGTGGACAACATGTTCGAAGGCATGGAGGAGAAGAATGCGCAGCTGCTGAGCAAGATCGAGGCTGTGAACGAGGACCTCCAGAAATTCAAGGAAACAGCGAAGCCTTAAGGAGCTGGGAGGGAGGGGAACCCACAAGACATGCGGCTCCAGCATGACTTGACATAGCAGATCGCGCAGCTGGAGGTCCAGATGCGCACCCTCATGCAGACGACACCAAGTTGATCGCTGTCTTCGGAGGGCTCGAGAACTTGGGGGACAAAAGGACAGCGTCCAAATGAATCAAAGACCGGCCGTGGGAAGGATATGTTGACCCAGCCACCGAGTACTACGTGAAGGGGGAATTGAAAGGCCTTATATTTGCGAAGTTCCCTGAGCAAGAAGATAGTGACACAGCAGTTGCCACAATGCGCAGTCTCAAGCACGAGATATCTGATGGGAAGCGCGTCTGGGCCGAGGAGAAGCAGCCTTGGGAGTGGGCGTCGCTCGTCAAACCCTTTTCGGAGCCAAGTGAGTGCTTTCCCAGTGGGGCTTCGTGAAGGCGTCAACGTGGGTGAAGGAGGAAGCTTCCGCCTTGCACATGGGGAACGAAAAAGTCTTCAAAGCAAACGTGGCGGAGGACACCCTGAAGGTCGAGTACGGGACCGGGTGGGAGGACTACCTCCAGAGCACGGAAAGGAAGAAGATCCTGCAAGAGAGCAAGAACAATTTTCCCGGAGCTGCGCAGAAGGACGCTGGCAAGGGCAAGGGCAAGGTCAAGGGCAGAACAGAACATTAGGGAGCAGCCCGATCAGCTCAGAGTCCAGATGCATTTTTTCCCACGGGACCCTTTCTGGTGTATTGCCAGAGTGCAAGTATACACACAGCGGATCGGCTAGTTAATGTGTTGGCCGAACTTGAGAACGTGCAGTGGGATGCCGTTCCATCTGAAAAAACCCGCGCTCCGACAGGTAATGTTATTCTCGATGGTGGTCACCGGTTGATTTACAGACTCGGGGATTCTCGTCATCTTGGCGTTGCCGTTCTCTTGCGCAGGCAGCTGGCTGA